AAGTAATCTAATCTGAGGAGGAATACCTCCTGCATGGCACTGTGCCTTAGTGAAAACAGTACCAGGCGGGAAAGCAAGTGAGACAGGCTCAGGTCAGGCTTGGCTACTTATCCTGACTGTGGGCAGTTGCTCAGCCTCTCTTTCTTCACCTGCACATTTGAGATGGTTGGACAAAGTGACTTCTAAGGTCTCAGCCCTCATGTATAACAGTTTTATGCAGTTCTCTCTTATAAACAGCAGTCTTAGGTGAGAAGGGATAAAAATGAAGAGACCACATTTTTTAAAAATCATTTTAAGCCTCTCCTGAAAATTAACTAGTGAAACATATGGTAAAAATAATAATGTTTAAATTAATCTGAAAATGAAATTAAGAAAACAGTTACATTTATAATAACATCAAAAGAGAATAAAGTACTTAGGAACAAATTTAACAGAGGAAGTGCAGAACTTATTCTCTGAAAACTACTAAACGTTGTTCAAAGAAATTTTAAAAGACCTAAATAAATCAAAAGACATCCTCTGTTTGTGAATTGAAAGATGTAATATTGTTAAGATGGCACTATTCCCCTTATCAATCTACAGATTCATCACAATCCTTATCAAAATCCCAGTTGGCTTTTTTTGCGGAAATTAACAAGCTGGTCCTAAAATTTATATGGAAATTGGAGGGACTGAGAATAGCTAAAACGGTTTTAAAACATTCCGAAGTTGGAAGACTCACATTTCTTGATTTTAAAACTTACCATAAAGCTATAGTAATCAAGAATGTGTGGTACTGTCATAAAGATAGGTATATAGATCAACGGAATAGAATTGAAAGTTAGAAATAGATTCACACTTTGATTGATTCTCAGCAAAAGGTGCCAAGACAATTCAAAGGGAGAAAAAATAACCTTTTCAACAAATAGTGCTAGGACAGCTGTATATACATATGCAAATGAATGAAGTTGGACCCTTTAATTATACCATACACAAACTAAAAGTGGGTCAAAGATCTAAAATGTAAGAACAAACTCAATAAAATTCGTAAAAAAATGTAGGAGAAAATCTTCATGATTTCGGGCTAGGCAGAGCCCTCTTGGATATGACACCAAAAGGTTATACTGCAAGAAAAAAAAAAAATTGGACTTCATCAAAATTAAAATAACTTGTGTGCATCAAAGGACACCATCAAGGGCCGGCCCGGTGGCGCAAGCAGTTAAGTGCGTGCGCTCTGCTGCGACGGCCCGGGGTTTGCTGGTTCGGATCCCAGGCGCGCACCCACGCACCGCTTGGCAGGCCATGCTGTGGTGGCGTCCCATATAAAGTAGAGGAAGATGGGCATAGATGTTAGCCCAGGGCCAGTCTTCCTCACAAAAAAAAAAAAAAGGACACCATCAAGAAAGTGCAAAGAGGGGCTAGCCTTGGTGGTGTAGCAGTAAGCAGTGAATTTGCGCATTCCACATCGGTGGACTGGGGTTCGCCGGTTCAGATCCTGGACGCAGACCTATTCACCGCTCATCAAGCCATGCTGAGGCGGAGTCCCATAGAGAAGAGCTACAACTCTACAACTATGATACACAACTATGTACTGGGGCTTTGGGGAAAAAAGAAAAAAAGAGGAAGATTGGCAACAGATGTTAGTGCAGGGCCAATCTTCCCTGCCCCCCCAAAAAATTAAAACAAAAAAAGAAAGTGAAAAGATAGCCTACACAATGAGAGAAAATATTTGTGAATTATATATCTGATAAAGTACTTGGATTCAGAATATATAAAGAACTATTACAACTCAATAATAACAAGATAAGTAATACAAGTAAAAAATGGACAAAGGATTTGAATAGACATTTCTCCAAAGAAGCTATATCAGTGGCCAATAAGCACATGAAAATATAGATACTCAGTATTATTGTTCATCAGAGAAATGCAAATCAAAACCACAATGAGATAACAGTACCTACTAGTATGACTGTTGTCAAAAAGACAAACCATAACAAGTGTTGGGGAGGATGTGGAGAAATAAGAACACCAATTCACTGCTGGTGGGAATATAAAATAGTGTATCTATTTTGATAAACAGTCTGACAGTTCCTCAACAGATTAATCTTAGAGTTGCCCTATGACCTGGTAATTCCATCTAATGTATATATCCAAGAGAAATGAAAACATAACATCCACACAAAAACTTGTGCATAAATGTTCATAGCAGCATTATTCACAAAGCCAAAAGATGGAAAAGACCCAAACATCCATCTACCGATGAATGGGTTTAAAATGTGGTGTATCCACCTAGCAGAATATTATTCGGCCATAAAGAAGGAACGAAGTGCTACTGATTTATGTTGTGATATAGATGAGCCATCACAAAAGACCACATATTATTTAATTCCATTTATATTAAGTGTTCAGAATAGGCAAATGTATAGTGACAAAAAGTAGATTCATGCTTGCCTAGGGCCAGGGGGCTTGGGGAAAAATGAAGAGTGACTGCTAAAGGGCATGGGATTTTTTGGGGGTGATGAAAGTGTTCTAATATTGCTGGTGGTGATGGCTGCATAATTTGTGATTATTCTAAATACTATTGAATTGTACACATAAATGGATAAACTGTATGGTATGTGGGTTATAGCTCAATAAAGCTGTTATAAATAATAACATTAAAAATTAAATTTTAAGAACTAGGGATTTCAAATAATTTTAACTAGTTATCCAAGGTAACTTTTGGATCCAGATAAGAAAGGCTCCATGCCTTCCATTCCTCCTAGCATGCCATTCTAAGTCCCGGTAAGGTGAGAACCTGGGCTTTATAGTCACACAAACACTGATTTGTATCCTGTTTTAGAATGGCCAGTTTGCCTAGCTTCTCTGAATTTCAGCTTCTTCATCTACAAAATGGGAGTAATAATAATTCTTAGCTCATGGACTGCTCTGAAAATTAAATGAGTTTCTGTATCTAAAGAGCTAAGCGCAGTGCTAAAAGCGATAGCCATCATCAGAGGTGTCGTGGTCATGGTCGCTTTAGGGTTATGGTAGGGTAAGATAAGAGAAAGGCCTGCAGAAAGACCCCTCCCCGCCTTTGCATGTGCTGTTCCTTCTGGCTGGATCACTGTTCCTGTCTCACAACTTAATTATTCCCTTTGTGCCTCACTTGGAGACTCAATTCAGGCTTCTTTTCTGGTGTGTGTTTCCTGACCACTTCCAGAAGCTGAGTTACAGGACCGGACCATCCGTCCATGCAAATCTGTGGTTTCACTTCTGGCAGCACTGATCTGTTTGTCTATCTTACCCTCTCTGTGCTTCTTGAGAGTAGGGGCTGCTGCTTCTCTCCCTGATCCCCCAGCTCAGTGCTTGGTGCTTGCTAGGTGCTCAATTCATACCAGTTGAAAGAATAAACGGTAAGGGGAGGGCCTAAGTAGACTGTTTAAACAAGAATCAGATGCTCCCACTGGACTCCTGAGCATTAGTTGACTGATAAATAGAATGATCTGAACTATTTTGCGTTGGGAACTTCATCTAATGATTTGACGTGGCTAGTTTACCTAGTATACTTTGGGATGATGGTTTAGTCCTGACATTAAAACAGAAAGATAGACATCAAGAAATGTAAATTTAATTGTTACAGGTCAATAGAAGATAAAGGATTGCTAATTGGTAATAGATTGAGAAGGATTGCACCTAATATTTCTTCATTTTGAAAGGCTCTTTTTTTTAAGGAGCTCTGTGTTTTTTTTAAACTGCTGTGGAAAGTTGAAACTTTGGATTTCTTAATGTACTCTATGAACTGCTAAGAGAAATTGACAATTTGTGTTTCCGTGGAAGTCCTGTTGTCGTTTTTCACGATACAGCGTTGGTATAAATGTGTATACCAGGTTCGTGGAGTAAGTGCATCTAGTGTATGTTTGAACTTGCACTGGGCCATCTTCTTGCCAAAATTTAAAAAACCTATTTAGAAAAATTCCCCTTATCCCTGTGCCAGTTTCTCTAGAAGCCAAAAGCTTTCATCCACCTCCCTGCTTCATCTGCAACCGAACAAAGCTCAAGTTATTGCAATGTGATAAATTATGATAGTAATCTATCCAAACTGGATGAAGCCATTATTGACTAGCTCATACGTGTGTTATTACCTTGAGAATTTGGCATTACCTAGTGTGTTGTGATGACCTTAACTAGGTACAAGGGCTTGGATAAAATTGTCTCAGAAGTGTCTTTTAATTTTGTGCTTCTTTGTGATCTTTTAAAAGTAGGTAGAGGCTCTCATTAAAGACAGAGAACATTAAAACAATTGCTCCAATTTCTGCTTGCTCCAATTTATAGCACCTTTCATCCAGTCATTTCAAAATATTTATACAGAATTTAGCACCCATTCCTGTAGATAACACTTAAATGAAATTGGAAGGTGCCATTGCAGTAAGTATAGTACAAAGAAACTTTTGATTTGGAACTATGTCATAATTTATAATTGGACGGCTGTGCAGGTTTCTGAAATAAGGGATCACCACTTATTGGCAACCCAAATGCATTTCTTGTTTGTTTCCTTTAACTAGTTTTACCCTGTAAGCTAAGTTACTCTCCTCTCCCTCTTGCCGTGAGCCCAAAAATAGCTTTATTAATAGGAATATATGATGTTTATGTTGTTAAAAAAAATCAGGGTGGTCTTAGATGTCTGTCTTCCATTCTGGCATTTTCCTTTATACAACCCTCTTGAATTTTCTGTTGAAATACTGGCATTCCGATAGCTTTTCTTTGGCCTAATGCCTGGGTCACATATTGCAGCAGCAAATTAGGAATGTTAAGACGTCCCCCAAAGAAAAATGTTTGTTATGAAAGTAGAGCTGATGTGACACTTAGAATTAGAACTTCTTAACTTGTCTAAATGACAGTTAATGATCTTTTTCTTTTATTATTTTAAAGAGGAGGAAAAGAATGAAAGAAATGCCCAGAGGCTGAGATTGGGTTTGGTTCACCAAACTGTTAAATGTCAAGTGTACTCTACTAATAATACATCTTTTGTCTCTTTTTAGGAGCTAATTTTGTTACTAGAAAAATTAGCCGGTCAGTAGCTAAGATTTACCTTGGACAACTGGAATGTTTCAGTTTGGGAAATCTGGATGCCAAACGAGATTGGGGCCATGCCAAGGACTATGTAGAGGTAGGAACTGACTCATTATGTTCTTAAAAATACCTGTATCACTTGATTTTGAATGCCAGGCCTCTAGAGGAAAAGCATCACCTAGAGGTGGTAGCATATAAAATTTTGCTAATGCAGATATGTTTAGACTCATACGTGTTTCAGTTTAAGGCTTGATAGTTCAGTAGTACATGTAGATGATACTGAATGTTACTTGAATGAGGAAATCTTTCACAACTGTTCTTTTAATTATTTAAAACAAAGTGTCAGTCAGTGGTTTGGATGATGGATGAAAAAATGTTTGAATGGTGTTCTTCCTTACTTTCTGAAGCTTCTTTCTCCTCCCCGTGTTTTGCACCTTCTCTCTTCTCCTGCCCAATACCCGTATGACTAACCCTGAAAGAATTTTTTGGTATAAAGGTACTACTAGCTCTCAGATCTTCAAGAAATACTACCTAATTTCAATTTGTATAATCCAAGACCTTCAGATTTACATGATTCTACTGAATTACTCTAAGAGTAATATTCTTATGGAGCTTTTGGTTTTTGTTGCTTTAGACTCTGCTTATTACCCTACACACTTCTTAAAGTGTGACTTTACACACCAATAAACTTTGTCGATTAAATAAAGAGAGATGGAGGGAGATGTTAATAATGATGCTATTGCAGGATAATGGATATGGTTAAAGGGAAATTCAAATTTTTACTCTTGGGATTTACATACACATTAAATTTTGGTTAGGGGTATATATGTTACATATATAAGGAGGATGATTTCTCTTTAAACTAAAAAACAACTTTAAAATTCTTGCCCTGATTAGTATGCTTTTAAATATCCATGGTGGTTCTGTGGCCAGACATGAAGGAGCACGTTAGTCACATTGTCTTGTTCCCTTGAGTCAGCTTGTCCTTGTTTAGGTGCTTACAGATTTCCTGTGCTCAGGAGACTATTTCTGTCCTTAATGATTCCTCTCTGGGAAACCGGATCTGGCTTCCTTGTTCATTGATGCAATTCAAAAAGAAACTTGAACATTTGCAAAGAAAGCAAACAAGTAGTTCACTTGCTAACAGAGGTTATCTTCGGCAGTGTTATTATTTTTGTTTATAACAATTAAAAATGTGTACTTGAACACCTAATACTTATATTATGGACAAAAAAGTAGTTCTGAATTTAAATTTTGAACATCACAATATTTAGATCGTTTAAATATGTTCTTCAATGCTGTAATTACAAAGAAACATTTTATGACAGTAGTTCTTAGATATATTTTAAGAATAGTACATTAAAAAACATATAAGGCCACACTTTCAGGAGTGATAATAAAGTGGGAGAAAGGAGATGTTAGCAGGAAAAGCAGAAACTTTCTTTTGTCTATTCTATATGGCCTTACCTACTTAAAAATATAAGGCAAATTTTGTAAAAATAAATACTTTATTTTTTCAATAGTATCATTTGGGCATACAGCCTTCTAGCTATCTGTATATACTTAGAGCTATATAGAAGGCTATATAGGTGTCTCTTGATCCAAACTCTTGTTCTCCAAATTCAGGAACCAAATAGATCGAATTTCATTCTATTTTATTTTATATTTTTGCACTGGGGTAAGAAAGAAGTTTGTATTGGAACTCAGAAATAGATTTTGATAGTGAGAGAAATAATATGTCAAAATGTTAGTAATGCTTTTGTTTTTCTTCTTTATACTTACATATTTTCCATATATTTGAAAAGAATATGTGTAAACTTTCTCAGGGAAAAAAATAAATGAATTTTTAATAATAGGCCAAAAAATCCAACAGAAACGCTTGGGACTGTTAAATAAATACATAAATAATGAGAAAATCTTTTGTGAGCTCAGCGAGTGTGGAAGGAGGAGCCTGCTGACCAATGCCAAGGCTAGCACTGCTCCTGAGTGTAGCTCAAACCTTGGCACAAAGGTCCCACATTTGTATTCCTTTACAATAAAAGTATTTCATAAACATTTTGGCTCAAAGATTTCAAAAAGGTCTTCCCAAATGATGTCATTTTGAAGATTCCTTGAAAAGATGGTATCAGTACAGCATGCCCAGAAGCCAGAATATCCACACAAGAGTAAGATGTTCTGGCCTTTCAGTAAGAATGTAAAATTTTCAAATTTTACAGAGACACATATGCAAAGTTAAGTCATTCTCGTTGGCATTCAAGACCTGTTACACAATAAAGTGGGTTTGCGTATTGAGGATTCTCCTGGGGTTCTGACCATAACACGTGTTGGTGATGTAAGAAGTGTTTTATAGTGCTCATTTATGGGTTCTGAAAGAAGTCTAAATTCTTGGTTTCTAAAAAAGTGTCATTATTAAGTAAGAATTCAAACCTATCTCCATTTTAAGAAATTTTGCTGTCCCTTGCATTTCTAAATGTATTAAAATGAGATTACTTCACAGACTTATGACTAAAAGCAGATGTTGCTAGAATTACAATCAACAAGCATAAGATTGAAAAAAGAAGCATTGTTTGTTTAAAGCACATCTGTATCCTGGCGTGATAATCAGCTTAAGAATAAAGAAGCCTTCGAAAGTACAGATCAAACAAATTATCATAGCATCTCATTTACACATGTTGTAATTCCTCTTATTTATACACATACTGTATTGGTAAATTTTTAGATTAAACAACTTATGCTTTTTAACTAATGGATGAATTTCCATGATGAAGAGTAGAGAGCGTTTGATGGATGGGGTGTAGGTGATCCCAGCTGTCAGTGATTTGCTCCTCAGCCTTAGGTAAGGTTTTATATCTCAATTTACCCATCTGTGAAAAGTACATAATAATAACCTTGTAAAAAATTAGCATTCATGTGCTGTACGTACATGATTAGAATCTACCTCTCTCTTGTGAACACTTTTGCAACAATTTATACAAAGCATTTCCTATTGCTGACTTAGGTTCATTAGCATCCATTTATAGTCTTGCTTCCTAGATCAAAATGATTTAAAAATTATTGGAGTGGGTAAGAAGTATTTCAACTTTAAGTTAAGAATATAAAAACTATATTAAATTACATTGTACTTCAGAATAAACATGCTATATATAAAGTTACATCTTTTCTAATATTTTATTCTAAACATTTTTAAACATACAGAATTGTTGAGTGAATTTTACCATGTACAGCTATATACCCACCACCCAGATTCTATTAACATCTACAATTATTGTTGCATTTTGAGAAAAAATATTACTATTTAAAAATTGCTGTAGTGCTAATGGGTCAGAGCTAAAAATATTCAATTTATACAGGTGAAACACAGGTTATCAAAAATTTGCATTTTTTATGGGATATAGTTAGCAATTCAAACTTTCAAAATATTTCCATCTTCTTAAATAATTATGTGACATCACCACAACCTGTTTTCATGTTTGCCTCCCTCCATATACATTGAAGCAACTCCTTGTATGCATGAAAACATGTTGGGGGCTGTATACCACATTCAAGCAAATTCAAGTAGTCAACATTGTACCAGTAGTGCCTGAAAACTGCAGAAGAGAAAACCTCTGACTTCTCTGGGTGGCGTTGCTCCTTCAACATAACTTCTGTTGAGTACCTGCCATAGTCGTGATTCTAGCTGCTTCAAATGACAGTCTTTGAAACTTTGTCCAAAGCCACATAAGACTGCAACATGCTATACTGCACAAAGGTAAGCAGATTTCTTTATTATAAGACTGACTTCTCAAAACTTATGATATGTGAATGTGCACTATGGCCTGCTAAGATTAATAAAGGGTTTTCCAAATTTATTTAACCTTGCCACCCTTTTAATGGAAAATAAGTACGAATATCTAGCAGTGTGGAGTTGGGAAATGGCACCATATGTTTAAATAAAATTAAAGGTAACAGTTTGGTTAACAGGGTCCCACTGTGATCCCACCTTGATAAAACTAGCTGGAACACAACTATAGCCAGAAAATATTGGGAGAGAAGCTAATTGATAAGGGTTGGGCCAGAAGTGTCTTTTAGCTTTGCCACTCACAAGGGGTCTTTTGCTCTTGTGATACACACGTAATCAAGTGACCTAAGTCTGAGCTCTTTCCAGGACTCAGCAAAAAGACATCTAAAAAATATCATGAGGTTTACTGCCAATAGCTGACCATACGGATGCTCCCGAAGAGTTCTACTGATCCAAAGGCAATACCGTGGGATGTTCACATTGTTAGGGAGAATTTTTGAGATTCATCTGAATTTTAATACCATAGTTCCCCACACGCGTCTTTTTCTTTATTTCTCTCTCTCTTTTTTTTTTGTTGACAGAGAGCACAGATTAATAAGAAAAAGCTACATTTAAAAATAAAAATAATAATTATCAAATGTTGGGCACTTATTATATGCCAGAAACTCCACTGCAGCAGAAGACTTTATATACATTATCTTATATAATACATGCAGTAATCCTGAAAGGTAGAGAGTATGTCCTCATTTTATGGATGAGGGAACTGAGAGTTAGAGCTTTCAGGTGACATACTCACCCCAAAGGCATGGCCAGTAGAGTTGAATGAAGCCAGAAGTCCAGCCCAGGCCTGATACCTAAGCCATGCTCATAACCACTAATTAATATGGAAGTGAGGGGAGCAGAATATGAGCAGTGGGATCTGAGTAACTTTCCATTTCCCGGAGAGACAGAAAATTAAGCTTCTCTCCCTTTTTTTCCCTTGCCATTTATAGTCCAAGGGGAAGAGAAATATCTGGAAGATAAGAGTCTCAGACAGTTATCAGCTCTCACTGAACCCATTATATTGGCTATATCACTGAACCTATTACATTGGCTATATTAAGATGCAAAGGATGTGTCTGGGGAAAATGAGTAGTTAGATGTCCATCCCTCTCTGTCCATTGGCTTCTAAATGAGTTAACCTTCCTTACAGCTGATAACAGAGACCTGAGGAAAGCTGGGGAGAATTGACCACTGTTTCTCAATCCTTTCTTCCTCATCATTCTGCTGCTAGCATTTTGCATCCTGTGTTAATTAACAGAAATCTGGAAGGAAAGGAT